GTCACCAAAAACCTGCGACGAGAGGGCCAGATCCAGCAGATGATCCGCCACCCCAACATCACGCAGCTCCTTGATATCTTAGAGACGGAAAACAGCTACTACCTGGTCATGGAGCTTTGCCCGGGGGGCAACCTGATGCACAAGATATATGAGAAGAAGCGGCTGGAGGAGGCCGAGGCTCGCAGATACATCAGGCAGCTCATCTCTGCAGTGGAGCACCTGCACCGGGCCGGGGTGGTCCACAGGTAGGGACCACACCACACTGATGAGAGCTGACCCTGCCAGGGGTGAGCAGCACTGCGCTTCAGCCCGCTCCAAGCAAGGCTGAGTAGTTGTAGCCTGTTACATAATTCTTCTACATTTTCATTCCATGGAATTGTTTTCTGAGTTGGGCTAATGCCAGTGTGTGTGTGTGGGGGGGAGGGGTCGTGTCCTACGTTTCTCTCCCCTTTGATAGTTATTTTCTTTTTTTCTCATTTTTTGTTCTGTCATCCCAGGTTGAGTGCCATGGCATCATAGTAGCTCGCGGCAACCTCAAACTCTTGAGCTCAAGTGATCCTTTTGCCTCAGCCTCCTGAGTAGCTGGGACTACAGGCACCCACCACAATGTCCAGCTAGTTTTTCTACTTTTAATAGAATTTTTTGCCTTGCTCTTGCTTAGGTTGGTCTTGGATTCCTGAGCCAAGGAATGCACCCACCCTTGGCCTCCCAGAGTGTTAGGATTACAGGCGTGAGCCAGCACACCCAGCCTCTTTGATAGTTTTCTGACCTTGAGCATGTCCCTTACCTTCTGTGAACCTTAGTCTCTTCATCTATAAAATGGGAGTAATAATGATACTTCTTTCTTGGTTGGTGTAGGGTCAATGAGTTAGGCACCAGGTAAGTGCTGGCTGTTATTCTTTCTATTATTTGCAAACCTATGAGAATAGTTGCTCCGGTGTCTGAAAGAAGCAGTGTCAAGTGGCATAAGACTATTTTTCACTCAATGCTAGGGAGGATACTTTCAATGTACTTGCTTTACATGTAGTACTGCTGCCCAAGAGCTTTTAATTCAATTGAATTGAATCACCATTCAAATGGTGAACTTGCCCTTGAACTCAATGGTGGTGTCCCCCATAAGCCAAATAAATCTGACAAATAATTATGAAGATCAAGCTTGTTTTTTATCAGCCTGTTCCCTCTTAGGAAGAGGCTTCACAAAGAAAGTAAATGAAAATACTGTTCTTAGCAATGCTGTCCTTGATGGTGGGTGTCTAGTTTTAGTACTGTATAAAAATAAAATAAATTAAAAAAAAAAAGTGCCCTCTTTTTTCCTCCAAAGAGTACCATACCAGTAAATGTATGGTTCTTCCTTCGTAGAATCATAATCAATTGCTATTCTAAGTGGTTGAGAAAATTAAATACCATTTTTAAAAATTATTTTTTATTAAATCATAACTTTGTACATTGATGCGTTTATGGGGTTCAGGGTACTGCTTCAATATACAACATGAAATTCTTACACTGAACTAAATAACACATCCATCACAATTATACTCATTTCTTAATAGTTTTGAAATGTACCATTGCATCATGCATAGTAGGCGAGGTCCTCCAAATGCCCTCCTCCCTCCCATATCCCCCCTCCGCTCCTCTGTCTCTCCTCTTCCCTTCTACTTTCTGGACTATAGTCATGTTTTGCCATTCATATGAATGTGTAGGTGATTATATATTGATTTCATAGTAGTATTGAGTATATTGGATACTTTTTTCCCCCATTCTTGAAGATACTTTACTAAGAAGAATATGTTCCAGCTCCATCCAAGTAAACATAAAAGATGTGTAGTCACCATCTTTTTATGGCTGCATAGTGTTCCATGGTGCACATACACCACAATTTGTTAATCCATTCATGGTAACTACCATTTTTAATTGATTCTTTTTTTAAATGGAAAATCAAGCCATACAATATGTTAGTGTATATGTATTAAACATATGTGCACACATGTTAAAACACTTTTTGTTGATATACCATTGAGAAACTATAAAATTAACCATCTAAACATGTATAATTCAGTGTCATCCTTTTAGTATTTTACAGAGTTTACTAAAAATTTTAGTATTTTTACAGAGTTGGACAACCATCATTATTATCTAATTTTGAAATATTTTTTATTACCCCTCAAAAGAAACCCTGTTCCCATTAGCAGTCACTCCTCATCCCCTACCCCCGACCACCTGCCACTGGCACCTGCCAACATATGTACTTTCTGTCTTTTTCTCCATGGCTTTGCCTATTCTAGACATTTCATATAAATGGAATCCTACAAAATATGGTCTTTTGTGATTGGCTTCTTTGACTTAGCATAATGTCTTTCAGATTTGTCCATGTTATAGCATGTATCTGAACGGCTTTCCTTTTTGATGGCCAAGTAATATTCCATTATATGGCTACACCACAATTTTGTTGGTCCACTCATTGGTCGATGGACATTCGCGTTGCTTCCACATTTGGGCTGTTAGGAATACTGCAGCTGTGAGCGTTTATGTAAACTTAATGTTCTTACTGCTTTCCAAGAACTCCACTCTGGGAAGTGGAATTGCTGGGGCATGTGGCAGCTCTCGGTTTAACCTTTTGGAGGAGACACATATTTTTTAAAAATTCAATATTTAATGGTGAATCTAATTTTATTTTTAATAAGGATAATCTAATTTTATCTGGTGGAAAGCCATTCATTTTCTGGTCAGCAAAGAAAGCAGCTCCAGCCCTTTACTTAGAACTCTAAGACTTTCAAGGTGGAGAGAACCGTCTCCTTACTGATGAGAACCGCACTCATCAGTGTGGAGCGCTGTGCCCTGTGGTGAGTAAACCCAGGAGCACGGCCGGGCGGACCTTTTCCCAGGGGTCTCCCAGAGCCAGCTGTGGCCAGCCTTGGTCAGGCCTTGGTCAGGCCTGTCATTTTCTCCTCACTGAGGCAAGAGAACCTCTTCATGTACGTTTTATTAGTCACACGTGTTATCATGAGATCACACTTCATTAGAACTCTGTGGGTTTAGCTCAGCAAGGAAGAGAACATTCAGAAATTTTAAGTGAATAACACTATTTTTGGCTCTTTCCAGCAATACTCTTGTGTAGCCTAAAGTGTCATAGCTCTGCTGTTATTAGGAAAATGATGGCTGTAAGTGTGCCTGGCTCTTTGTTCAGATGACGAAGGCAGAAACCTCATGAATGAATCAGCTTGGATTACCGAGTCCATAGGCCATGGCAGAAAAGAGAATCAGGGGACTGCAAGTGTCAGAGCTCTCTGTGGCACTCAGGGTATTTTTCCAAGGGTGTCATGCTGTCAAAAGGATGAGGAGCACCTCGCTTCTCAGGATTTCGAGGACAACAAAGGAAAATCAAGTGAAAGCTGTGCATTGCTCACCGGCCTCTCTTGCAGGAAATTCTCAGCAACCCTTTTAAAGTAATTTTAACAAAATCCAATCCCTGTCGGCACAATTACTGTCAGGATGTCAAAGGAATGAATTTAATAATGTTTTGATAGCAAAGACAGTATACTTTCTCTTTCTCTGATCTCCAGCTTTCTACTTTTTCCTCTCTATCCTTGGAAATATAGTCATAATCTAATAATAGTGAGGGCTCTGATCTTTTTTTCTTTTTAATATTAAAAAAAAATTTTTTTTTGAGACAGAGTCTTAAGCAGCTGCCCTTGGGTAGAGTGCCATGGCATCATTATGGCTCATAGCAACCTCCACCTCTTGGGCTCAAGCGATCTTTTTGCCGGTTTTTCTATTTTTAGGAGAGACAGAGTCTCACTCTTGCTCAGGCTGGTCTTGAATTTGTGAGCTTAAGCAATCCACCCACCTCAGCCTCCCAGAGAGCTGGGACTACAGGTGTGAGCTTCTGATCTTCTAAAGACTGGAAAGACAGGTATCTTTGAGGAGGATTTCTTCCCTTTTGTCTCTAAGAAATCATGACCATCACATGGATATAGGTGATTAGGGGTTGAGATATCACATTAAGTGGTTTGTTTAGAGTGTATTCGTGGGTGGCTTTAACAGAAAGTCTTGACTTTCACAGATTCTGTACCACGAATTTTTGACATTCACAATTTGGTTGACCACTGGTATGCTCTGTTCTATAGCCTTGGCCAGGGGTGGGGAATTTTTTCCTTATGCTGCAAAGGTAGAATACATTTCATAAATTATTTTGAGGTTAAGATTTTTTTTTTTTCAAGTGAATAAGAGAGTTTAGTATTTCAGGGAGATTTCTGAGCAAATACATTGGATTGTCCAAAAGGATTGAGGATGAATTTTTGTGGCTACATGTATAATGATTTAAAGGGCTTAACGTTTTGTGTATTAGGAGATGCTTTAAAAATGTGGTTCCCGATTAGGGTGGTTATGTCATAACTTAATGCTAGTACCATTCTCATTTCTTGTGGTGTTAAATCTATGTATTTAATTACCTACCAGAACTATTTAAATATCATTTAAAAGAAGCAAATCTTTAAAAATTATGTAAATATTATAAGTATAATTTTAATAAAAAGGTAACTAAACCTGTATAAAGCAGACTCCCTTAAGCCAGCAGAGAACTCTTTATGAAATTGGACTTACTGTAACCTCTGCATCTTTTGCTACAACGGGGCTATTGTTAATGTTTTACCAAGGTAGAGTATGGTCTGATTTCTTCATTACTCCATCTTAGAATTACCTGAGATTATTTCCCACCCCCCAAATGTGCTCACCCCACAGCATGCCAAAATCTGGTGGTGTGCCGATTGTATACAGAGGGTGGACTCTTAACACAAATCAACAAGAACACCGATTCTGCGGAGAGGCTAATTGGAGATTCACTTTTCATTCAAAATAACAAAGTCCAATTAAACCGTACAGAGAAAACATAGCAGGATAATATAATACCGCCATCCCCAACAGGAAGAGACAAGCCTGGTGGGGGGGGGTGGGGAGGAGTGCTACAGGAGTAGGAGAAAGAGACACAAGATCAAAGAGCCGTGAGCCGGCTGGGGTGTGGGGTGTGCGGCTGCAGGGCCTCCACCTTCCCAGTCATCAGTACTGGAAGGGGGCCCTGCCACCCAGGAGGGATGCAGTGCAGGAGAGGAGGCCCTTCTTTGTTCTCTTCGGCCTAACAAGAAACAAGCACCACCTGTGCTGGCTGGGGATTAAGAAGATTTTTTAACTTCCAGGTTTTCTTGGAGAGGTGAGGGAGGGAAAGCAAATGAGAGGGGGATGCTTTCTGCTT